ACTCTACCTATACAACCAGTGCAGACCAAAATCAGCGGACACATCAATTCCCAGGCTTGCCAACACCGTCTGTTCATTGTCTGCACTAAGTCTTGCAGTATTCAGTCTGTATTTGATTTCTAAATTTTCCGTAAAAACTGGTTTTGTCCAGATATAAAGATGGAAACAATGTACATTGTACTAAGCATGGCAAGGGCTGACAGACTTTCCTAATTATTATTAAAAAATCACAATTTTCATGATTTTTTCTACAAAATTAAGATGAGCTAAATAATATCAAAATGTAAATTTACTAAATGCATAAATCAAATCCACTTTTATCAGTAAGAGCTATCCTTGTATAAAATATATTTTTACTCAAGTTAAAAGTAAAAATTTACTTTCTAATGTCAAACTTGATGTAGTATCAAAGAAATATAAAATCTACTAGCATAATTTAACATATTGACAATTAACATAATGCAGTGGTCATAGGTTTTTTACGGTTAAAATATAAAAATATAAAATGTATTTCGGTAGATATTTCACAATGATTCTGAACATAAATGATTTTTTTTATTCCTGATATTACATTTATAACCATTAAAGTGACAAAGTAAGAAAATTTGCGGGTCACACGACTTACCGGAATCGGCCGAATTACCGGAATCGACCGGAATCGGCGGTGAATTACCGGAATCGACCTGTAACTTTGTAATAATTAAACTTTTTAAGTTTTTTCTTGCAATTATATAAGAGATAAACAATATCAATGATTTATGAAAAGATTTTTATAAATAAAATAGCTTTTGATTAATTTATCAAGAGATCTAATATCGGCGAGCTACTGCCAAACTGCCCGTGACCGGAATCGGCCTGTTATTTCGTTGTTTATGCAACTTTTAATGTTCCTTTTGCATGTTTTTATAAAACCTAAATATTATCATTAATCTTCCTAGAGATTGTGAAAAAATCGCTTTTAAATAATGATAATAATAAACAAATATTTATGATCAGCGAAAACGGGCAAACTGCCGGAATCGGCAAAGGATTACCGAAATCGGCCTGTAATTTGCTTATCTATATACTTTAAACAAAATGTTTGCACCCTTGATTATAAATAAACAATAGCAATGATATGTAATCAGATTATTGTCAATAAAATCACTTTTTATTAATTAAACAAGATATTTAATATCGGCGAGTTACTGCCATACTGTCGGAATCGGCGAAGGATTACCGGAATCGACGTATAATTTAGTCTATTGTACTTTTTAACGTTTTTGTTGCATTGTTAATATTCATCTTATAAAATATAAATATTATGAAAGATATTTAAAAGTTTCTTTCTTTTATTTTGTAAATTTCAATTCGCCTTTGGTTAATAAAGCAAGAGATCGAAGCGGCGAGTTACATATACTGTCATACAGCCGAAATAGGCGAATGATTACCGGAATCGGCCTGTATTATTGTAATTTATGGACTTTGCAAGAAAAAAAATGCAAACAATATAACAGATATCTAAAAAGATTTCTGTAAATGAAGAATCCTTATTAAATAATAAACTAGAGATCTAAGGTCGGCGAATTACTGCCATATCGCATAATTGTATGCAGTGCCAGGGCTATCGGACAATTACCGGAATCGGTCTGTTTTTCCCCACCAATATTTCAACGTTTGAAAAATAACCTTGACTTATTTTATTAAATACAAACAATTTAAAAGATTTTATAATGTTTATTGAAAAGAAGCAAAAGGTTTATGAAAAATTGCTGTTATAAATAATAAAAAGATTAATATTGAAGATCGGCAAAAACGGGAAACCTGTCGGAATAGGCGATGGATTACCGGAATCGACCTGTAATTTGGTTATTTGTGAACTTTTTGAATATTTCTTTTGCATGTTTTATATAAGATATAAACATTTTCAACGATATTTATTTTTGTAAATAAATTCGCTTTTGATTAATAAAACAAGAGACCTAAGATCGGCGAATTACTGTCATTCTGCCGATATAGGGGAAGGATGGGCGGAATCAGCCTGTAATATAGTTATTTTTATGTTATTTTATTGAATGAAAATAATATCATTGATATACGAAGATTTTTTTGAGAAATAAAGATCACTTTTTTACTATAAACTAGATATCTAAGATAGACTAATTACTATCACAGTGCCTGAATTAACAGGTAAATACAGGAATTAGTCTGTTATTTTGTTATATTTCAGCGTTTTAAAAATATCTTGCCATATTTTATTAAATACAAACAATTCAAATGATATTTAATAATATTTATTGCAATTGCTATTACATAATTAACAAGGTGATCTATGATTTCTTCCATACTACCGAATCGACAAGCGATTACCGGAATCGGCTTCACTTCGTCTAGGATTACTGGAATCGGTTCTAATTTTGTTATGAATGTGAACTCAATATTATTATTATCATTTATTTTTGCATGTTTTTACAAACATTATCATTGATCTTTTATGGAATAATGCAATATCGTCTTTACATTATATTTTTTCAAAACATTGCTAACAGAGGATTGTTTAAAATGACGGATAACAATAGGTCAGTTTAGTCTTTCTTTATGTTTGCATAACTCAATTCTTGATTTCATAAAGTAGTCGATTTATAATTACATGCAATAATTTTTATTTGAATCTTTATTTAAACAATACAAACCTCATAAAATATTCACATGAAATCAATGTTTTTTGCTGAACAACAGGCATTCTCTAACAGACAGACCCTCCCACTATGAAATATATCAGCATACCGTATATTGGCACCCCACTGTTTTGTAGTATATCACACTTCCCAATACACAGCTCCCGATATACAGCTCGTTTACTTCCAATAAAGTGACAGTATCATCTGTGCGTATATAGCTAACATCCATATCTCACTGTTTTATACGTTACGGGTATATATGATTTGTTTACTATTTTGTTTTGTTCGGAACATGCTAGTTAACGTGACCTCTTAATTTTGCAAAGGGTCAAGATAATGTTATCTGTCAATCAAAATGTTATATATTGAAAGACAAAATAATACAGATTATTATTTTCATATCCGTGTATTAGATATATACTGTTCAGTAGGATGTGTATTCCTCCATTGTCTAAGTTTTGGTTTACATAAATGTGAAATATATGTAACATATTTAGTCGTGCACATACAATAAATAAGCATTTCTCTCGCAAACGCATAACAGAGTTGTTATTTCTTTGGTTTTGTAGAAAGATAGTTAGGACGACTAATTCCGGTATTTCCCTGTTAATTCAGGCACTGTGATAGTAATTAGTCTATCTTAGACATCCAGTTTATAATAAGAAGTGACCTTTATTTCTCAAAAAATCTTTTTATATCAATGATATTATTTTCATTCAATAAAATAACATAAAAATAACTATATTACAGGCTGATCCCGCCCATCAATCCCCTATATCGGCAGAATGACAGTAATTCGCCGATCTTAGGTCTCTTGTTTTATTAATCAAAAGCAAATTTACTTACAAAAATGAATATCGTTGAAAATGTTTATATCTTATAAAAACATGCAAAAGAAATATTTAAAAAGTTCACAAAAAACCAAATTACAGGTCGATTCCGGTAATCCATCGCCTATTCCGACAGGTTTCCCGTTTTTTTGCCGATCTTCAATATTAATCTTTTTATTATTATATGACAGCGATTTTTCATAAATCTTTTGCTTCTTATTTGATACCGATTTCAATAAACATTATAAAAATCGTTTATATTGTTTGTATTTAATAAAATAATTCAAGGTTATTTTTTAAACGTTGAAATATTGGTGGGGAAAAAAACAGACCGATTCCGGTAATTGTCCGATAGCCCTGGCACTGCATATAATTATGCGATATGGCAGTAATTCGCCGACCTTAGATCTCTAGCTTATTATTTAATAAGGATTCTTCATTTACAGAAATCTTTTTAGATATCTATTATATTGTTTGCATTTTTTCTTGCAAAGTCCATAAATTACAATAATACAGGCCGATTCCGGTAATCATTCGCCTATTTTCGGCTGTATGACAGTATATGTAACTCGCCGATCTTCGATCTCTTGCTTTATTAACCAAAGGCGAATTGAAATTTACAAAATAAAAGAAAGAAAGAAAATTTTAAATATCTTTCATAATATTTATATTCTATAAGATGAATATTAACAATGCAACAAAAATGTTAAAAAGTCTAAAAGACTAAATTATACGTCGATTCCGGTAACCCTTCGCCGATTCCGACAGTATGGCAGTAACTCGCCGATATTAAATATCTTGTTTAATTAATAAAAAGTGATTTTATTGACAATAATCTGATTACATATCATTGCTATTGTTTAATTATAATCAAGGGTGCACACATTTTGTTTAAAGTATATAGATAAGCAAATTACAGGCCGATACGGTAATCCTTTGCCGATTCCGGCTGTTTGCCCGTTTTCGCTGATCGTAAATATTTGTTTATTATTATCATTATTTAAAAGCGATTTTTTCACAATCTCTAGGAAGATTAATGATAATATTTAGGTTTTATAAAAACATGCAAAAGGAACATTAAAAGTTGCATAAACAACGAAATAACAGGCCGATTCCGGTCACGGGCAGTTTGGCAGTAGCTCGCCGATATTAGATCTCTTGATAAATTAATCAAAAGCGATTTTATTTATAAAAATCTTTTCATAAATCATTGATATTGTTTATATTTTATAAAATTGCAAGAAAAAAACTTAAAAAAGTTTAATTATTACAAAGTTACAGGTCGATTCCGGTAATTCACCGCCGATTCCGGTCGATTCCGGTAATTCGGCCGATTCCGGTAAGTCGTGTAACCGAAAATGTGCTGGAAAACCAAAAAGTGATTAGCCTAAAAAAGGCCCTTTACCATCAGTACAGCTACACCAGTTTTGACTAGAGCTGTCATTGATTCAGTATAAAGCAAATCAACGATATATCAAATTATCAGATGACAAATATCGATAATCCACTGATATCATAATATTAAAAGTATGTATTGATAATTACATACTTCAAGTATTAATTACTTTAACTTGTCTGTACTTCTTTTTCATACCTGATCAAAAGCTTCCAGTTAAACGTTCTTTTCATACACGTGTCTTGATTATAAAAGCCCATTGCATGATTTTTGCTGACTATTATTTTTTTCATTACTGCTATGAAATATGTTTTTGCATTATGTTTTGGGTGAATTATCATTTTTTCTAGACATTTAATCAAGTCAAAATTATCAATTCTTTAAAATGTGATCAACAGAAATATATCATCAATATCATTACGATCGATGACAGCTCTAGTTTTGACCAGGCTCATAATACCGATGGTAGCTCAATTATTTATATTATTGAAATCACTTGGACATTGAATGGATTTCTCTAAATTCAAATCTAGGCAAATGAAACAGGTACATGTAAAGAGCTTCTCATTATTCAAATACAAAATTATAAATCACAGTATAATGCTTTGTTTTTTTTATACAAATGGTGCGTCTGTCTATATAATATATAATTAATATTTGAAGTACATGAGTACATTGAGTCATTTATAACACCAGTTGTCTGTAGCAAAGGGGAGAGGATTATTGAAGGTGAAATGCTTTTATCTTTCACCAGTCTTTGCATTACCTACTGTTTTATTTAGCCACTATAAATTCCATTATATAGACAAGGAAATACATGTTGATGATGGTACCTAGCCTATATTGTGGTGGAAATTATCAAGATTTCAGCTACAGATCCCCCCACTCCCCCATAATACAGGGCAGATATTTTACAAGGGCTCTGCTGGTACAAAAGCTAAAGTAACCAGGCAAGAGTAAGTTGTAACAAATGACTGACCAGTACATATGAACCTAATTACACCTATGATCATGTAATATTTCTACAGTGATTTTTATATATACATTGGCCATCATAATGCTGACAATCAATGACACTTAAATAATTATTTCCAATAATTTCACGTAAAACAGTTACTTTAAGTATATTACCATTTGCCCATGTCTACACGTAGACATTCATAATTGTATTTATTTTACTTCGGCACAGCGGGCATTTTCGCCTCTCCCTTGACCTTGACCTCGCAATATGATTGCCACAATCTACACATAAACACATGTGTCTACACGGTAAAATTAATACAGACTTACTCCTGTCTTGACAAACTACACACATACGTCTCTCTTTTTCATCATCGACAATTTTTTTCAAGTCGTCTGGAGACATTTCTTTTGAAAATCTTGACGGCGTTGTCGACCGTCTGCCAAAAGTACCATCCGGTTGCGGTAGTTCAATGTTTATTTCACTCATTTCACTTTCGCTAGCCGCGTTACTCTCGTTGTCAGAATCAGAATCAACTTCCAACTCGTCATCAGTGTCGGAACTATCATCATTGTCATCATCAGAGTCATCGCTTATATCTGAATTAACGCTGTACTCATCGTTATTATCTGCGTCATTGTAGGTTGTCCTCGTGTAATTCAGTCCTTCCTCGTCATCAGAGAATTCACCTCGATCACCCTCGAATTCACCAAAGTCTGAATCATATTCGTCCGATATGCTCCCACTAAACCAACCGGTAACGGGGAATGTGAAACCTTCAGAACACATAAGGTGTACAATATTTTTTATGATTATGAACAAAAGAATAGTTATAATTAATCCAAGGTACGCCTCTTTACGCATATTAAGAATGTACTCCGTAATTAAATCATAACTTGCCTCAAAACAGCGCCTACAGAAGTAGCGCACATAAAAATCAGTGTACAAAATAAACTCATAAACATATTCGTAAATTAAACACAGAGAATCATATACAAATAAACAAAACACTTTAGTAAAGTCTCCAATTATTAAGAATCCTCCTAACAAAGAGTTACTCAATTCTTTTAACGAAACCACAAAATATTTCCACGTGCTCAATCCGTTGTCTGAAAGGTTCTGTCCAGAAAGCTTGATTGTATTGGCTGTCCATTTTCCGCCTGTCCAAAGGAAATGAAATACGCATTCTAGCCCATGTAACAGTAGATCTAATAAACTGTACACTAAAACCAAAATTTTCCATAGCAAATACAAGAAAGCAGTGATAAAGTTCACCAATTCCTGTAAAAAGTCAACGACACACACCAGTAACGTGTACACAATTACGCAAATAAAATGCAACACGGCCCATACCGCACTCGCAAAGTTCGCGCAAAATCGTAGCACGACAGACATGGCATTATGGTTCACCTCTAAAACAGTTGTTAACACTGCCTTAATGGATGTCAACATTTCAGTAAATCCACCATAAATACTCGTTATAGATTCTATAAAACTTTCGGTGTGGCTCATTCTGCCTCTGTAGCAACGTCATTCCACACTTTACTATCTCTATGTCAAGCTGATCCAAACATGATCCCACGTAACAATGCTAAACTTGACCATTCGTAATGTTTCATTTTCTTTTACTTTTAACATAAATGACAGTTAAAAGTCCACATATGCCTCCAAACTTAACCTTAAAATTTCATCTAATCACAAAATATTCATGTTACAAATCGACCTGCATTCAAGCTTGATTAAAGGTCGTCTCGTAAGTACTTTTGCCCAACAATCTTCCTTAAGTTTGGTAATTCAGAGGTCCTATTTTATATGAAGCACATTTACAGGATTATATTTACAAAGCATGTCAGGCTTACAGTGCATTACCCATAATTATCATTATGCAAAACTGTCACAGCACCTGTTTAGACTTCTCTTAACTAATCATCTTCTGTAAGTATTTCCATGCCGACCTGAAATATATATGAAAATACACATTACTTTTATTACTGGATATTCTACTGAGTTCTGCAAATTTTATTCTTAATAAAAGGCCCATCAAGCCTGAAAAATGGAAATATTTTCATTCTATTTTTGATGCCCTGTAACAATTTCTGAGCCATCTTTTGCTTCCTTTGTGATTAAGCAATGAAGTTAAAGTGATTTACCAGTAGTATTTTGTATGGAAGTCAAAATTTTCAAAAATTCAAATTTGATGTTGCTTTCTTTAGGTGATAAGCATCTAAAATTGTTATAACTCCTTAATTACAACATTATTAAAACACATGTTTTCTTTTCTACATAAAAAATACCAATGCATGCCATAATGTGCCTTTAATAGAGTTATGGTAAGTTCACTGATGAAACTTACAACTCAATGACAAACATATGATATTTCAGTGATATATATTTACAGAAACATTGAAATCCTTAGCCAATTAGATAGCATTTCATTGCATCAATATCCTTTGTATAATTCATATTGGATGGATTTCAATTACAGGTCAGAAAAAATATTAAAGTTCATACTTTCTGCTGCCAAAAAAAAACAATGACAAAAACTGAATATTATCTTTCTAAAACAAATAAAACCAATCCATTATAACCAAACAGAAATTAACAATATTTTTTTTGTAACAAATTTGTGTATAGAGACAATTAAAGCTATATAAATTTACAGAAGTATTTGTTTTAAGAAAAAGTATTATGAAATTCTAATTTTAGCTTTAATGACCTTGACCTCCAACTAATAAATGCAATGTAGATTATGATCGGCTGACAAAACCCTGTGGTCTGATTCATGTACAGAGATAATTAAAGCTAAAAATATAAATTTTTAACAGTATTTGTTTTAAAGAAAAGTAAGAAATTCTATTTTTAGCTTCAGTGACCTTGACCTCCAACTATATGAAAGAAAGGTATGTGTACCATTTATTAGAGATCAGTCAATAAATAAAGTGGAGTAAAAATAAATGGTAAGTGTGTCGAAAGAAATTTATTTTATATATAGTGTATTTAACCACTGGATTTCTGATGGTGACTGAATCTATGTATTGCAGACCCAGATCAGCTGGCAAAACCCTGCCTTCTGATTATGGTCTACAGTATTCGCCAGTTCAAATATTTTGAAATTTGCTTTGAAAATGATGAATGGTTAGGTCAAAATTGAAAGATGGATCTGTTTAGCAAGGATTAGCCCAACAAATTGTGCACCAGGGCTTTTTATTATGTATATGATGGTAGCCATATGTAATATCAGATTGTAAAATCAGTCAGACTTGCAGTCAAAATATTGAGACTTGGCAAGGATGTCACATTTTTGCATTCAAGGGTGCAGCTTGGTCTTAATTCATGTGATGGTTTGAAGGCATGCACCCTAATGAAAATATTTTGCACTGGGTTCAGGCATGTTTTGGCATATACATCTATTTAGTACAATAAATATGTTCAGGTGATTACGAGATATTACAGGTAGAAAGATTATCGGCAGTAACTGTGTTGTCACCAATTCAGTTTAAGTTACTCCTGGAGGCAAGGATTAAATTTATTGACAAGAGCTGTGTGATTCATAAGTATCTATACATGCTGTAAGTAAAAAAGTGTGACAAAGTCGATTTCGCTTTGATGTTCATACTCAGCAAAGTTCAGAAACTTTAGGTGACTAAGTCGCCAAAATTGCCCAGTTGCTAGAGCCCTGGTTTCTACTTAGTAAATAACTGAGGTATATATAGAGTGTAAAAACAGGAGTTGTTTCCCTGATCTTTGAGTAAAATTGATATCTCTTATGCTAAATCAATACAAACTTTGCCTTTTTTAAACCGCTAGCTAATTGCGATTTATTGTCCAATTTTTTTTGTTACACCAACGAAAAGCTTGTGATCTTAGCTTCATCTCAGTATATAATTCAACATCTCTTTAGGCACCAAAAGTATTTCAATCTATTTAATTAAATCTACATGTCAGGCTTTTTATATGGGTAAGTCAAAACCTGGGGACGCAAAGCGGCTCCAGGCTTTGGCCTGTCTGGCTATAGACAGTTAGACTACATGTGAATATTTAAAGTGAAAACAAGAGCAATGCTAGGCAGAGCATTATATGCCCTAAAGTGTTTTTTTTAGTAAGGATGAAGCATTTGTAAAACATGAGAATTAAATAAAGTATTACCTCCTTCAAATAGCAATCCTCCTATGAAGTTTGAATATTGTTGGCCAAATGGAACTTAACTTATGTTCCACAAACTGTTTAAAGGTAATTGTGACTTTGACCTTGTGACCCCAAAATCAATAGGGGTCTTCTACCCAATATGGACAATCATCCTATGAAGTTTGAACACTGTGAGCCAAATTGAACTTAAGTTATGCTCCGGAAACTGTTTTCAGTTTTGAGGTAATTGTGACCTTGACCTTTGACCTTGTGACCCCAAAATCAATGGGGGTCTTCTACCCAATATGGACAATCATCCTATGAAGTTTCAACTGTTTGAATATTGTGGGCCAAATGGGGACCATAATAGGACAGGAAACTAAAATAAATGGAAGCAGTGCATAAAATACTGAATGGCACTTTAAATAAACAGAAAATGAAAAAAAAAATGAACACATATTTTAACATACATGTAGGCTTTGTCTACTTTCATATGAATGATTATTTTCACCAACTTCCCTGCTAATAAGCTTTGCCTAATTTCATATTACACTGAGATGTGCAGTCGTTAATCTTTACTTGCAAAATTATAGATGAGAAAGGACTGTCATCTGCTAGTACGGAAACAGTCAATTAGTGTATTCCTGCCTATGTACAGTACAGCTTTAACAATTTGTTCGAAGTCGAAAGGACATTCTCGGAGCTCAAAAGAATAAATGTGAAAATACACAGGGAGATAATAAGAACGGTGAGTGCATTGTTGTAGAATAATGCACGCTTTGGACGTGCTTTGTTTATACATGTATAGAAAAAATTCCGATAGTGTTAGAATGTTTATTTTTCATTCGCCATATACTAATTAATTACATGTATTCATCTTTTATGTTCACCTGCCTGTCCGTTATGCAAACCTTAAATTTCACCCTTAAAACTTACGACGCACTTAAATCTGTAAAAAAATCGTTGACATTTTACTATAACATGTTCTATCGACAGGCTGTAAAATGTGCCAAATATACGGGAAAACACCCCTGAGAGCATCCTAGAATAAAACTAGAAATGTGTCCATAGGACACGGATGCCCCCACACGCCACTGTTCTGTCAATCTTATGACTCTAGGTCAAATACTTTTTGGACTACATGTGCCACAAGTTGAAAACTAAAAATCAACAAAGGGCCATAATTCTGTTAAATTTGGTCGCAGCAAAAATTCCTTCCTTTACTACCATCTACACATTAAGGTTGTTAATCCCTGGAAGTTTAAGCAAAATCTGCCATCCGGTTTAAGAGGAGTTGCATTCACAAAATTTCAACATAGTATATAATGAAAAAATCAAAAAAGGGCCATAAATCTGTTAAATTTTGTTGCAGCAAAAATTCCTTTCTTTATTACCATCTACACATTAAGGTTGTTCATTCCTGGAAGTTTAAGCAAAATCTGCTATTCTGTTTAAGAGGAGTTGCATTCACAAAATTTCTACATAGTATACAGGGCTCATCCTGGGGGGAAATTTTAGGGAGAAGTGACTTCCTCGCGAAAATTAGGGAGAAGGGAAACAACCCAATGTATATGCATTAACATGCATGGCTATACATCCTTATAATATAAACACAATTAACATCACTTATAATATTTCTCCAGTTTATTAATAAATAGTAGATTAATTAATAGTAGTATTAATTAAAAGTAGATTAATTAGTAGTAGATCTGGCAATGGCATCTAAATGTTTTTGAGCTGCAAATATGAATATAAAAAATTATTTTTGATATCTATTGATCAGCTATTTATAAGCTTTCTCTAAATATGTGTTTATATATATTTTCATGTACATTTGTAAGAAAAGATATGATGATATAATCAATTTCATATTTTTTCTTTCCTCACTTTTATTAGAAGATGAAGTCACCTTGGATATTGATTAATAAAATCTGTTCTATTCTGTTCTGGTAACAGAAATTTCTTTGAAAATCCTGATTTTTTTTTTTTTTTTGCGTTTATTTAAGGTCGCCGCCGGAAAGCCCATATGGGCGACCGTACACTCAAGTCGGGCCATCTTAGAGCGTCCCGCCGAGATTTTTTCCAGCTTTATTGGTGGAGGAAGACCCCAGGTGCCCCTTCGGGCATTATTTCAGGCACGAGCGGGCACCTGGGTAGAACCACCGACCTTCCGTAAGCCAGCTGGATGGCTTCCTCACATGAAAGATTTCGACCCGAGTGAGGATCGAACCTACAGCGGTGAGGGACCTGTGATCTCAAGTCAACGACCTTAACCACTCGGCCACGGAGGCCCCTAATCTCCTGATCTATGTATTGTAATGTCACATTTATATGCATATAATTATGCTTATAAAACAATTTTCAAACATCAAAGAATATGTAAAATATGTATTGCAAACATTTGTGCACATTATATTTGATCACTAAAATTACATATATTCATTTCTTATTGAAAATTTTGACTGAGAAATTGTAGAAAATTAATTTCTAATTACCTCCCTTTATTTTCATGAAATGTTAAATTCGGTAATATCTTTATAAATAATGCTTTTTAGAATTTACAATATTGATAAATCTTAACCTGAGCGTCATATTTACGACATTAAAACAAATATGTATATTGAAACAGTAAGAACTCTTCTTCTTGACAAATTTTGTTGTTATATACCTTACATGATATACGACCAATATGTAGTTTAGCCGGGATGTCTTGCCCACGTGCGTAAACTGTGTCAAATTTGT